GTTTCACAAATTATACAACGAGCCCGCCGCAGGCGCCGATTCTCTCGTTAAACCAATGTGGGTAGGTCGCGGGTGGGTCGCAAATTGGTCGCGGGTGGGTCGTGGGTGGGTCGCTGTTGGGTCGCGGGTGGGTCGCGGGGTGGGTCGCGGGTGGATCGCGGGTGGGTCGCGGGTGGGTCGCGGGTGGGTCGCGGGTGGGTCGCGGGGTGGGTCGCGGATGGATCGCGGGGTGGGTCGCGGGTGGGTCGCGGGTGGGTCGCGGATGGGTCGCGGGGTGGGTCGCGGGTGGGTCGCGTGTTGGGTCACGGGTGGGTCGCGGGGTGGGTCGCGGTGTGGGTCGCGGGGTGGGTCGCGGGGTGGGTCGCGGGGTGGGTCGCGGGTGGGTCGCGGGTGGGCCGACGACAACAGACAACAACAACAGCAACAACACCAGCAACAACAACATCACTCATCTTAAGACTGTTCGCTCCTATCTGCTCACGTGCCATTCAATACGTATATCCCAAACCCTCGGTACCTGCCCTCGTCGTCTTCGATCGTGTCCCATTGGGGGTATATCTTCCTTACCTGCCACGTGTATTTAGTGCAGTCCCTCAAACAAGGGGAGGACGGGTGGAGGGGGAGGGATAATTATGGAGCACGAGAGAAATTAGCAGGAGGGGGGCAAGGAGCAGAAAACAAGTGGTATAACTAGATGGGCAGATCGGGTGGGCAGACCCATAGCGGCAGGTCGGGAAGGCGGGCCCAGGCGACGAGGTCGAGCAGGCGGGTTGCTGAAGCATGGGTCCTGCATGAAGCGCGAGGAAGTCTCGAGCGATAGCACGATTCCCAAGTAAATCGTGAGAAAAGCCAGCGTGGGCCACGAAGCGCATAACATCCGAGGCCACTGAGGGCAGCGACGGGGCCGCTGAGGGCAGCACCTGGGCCACGAAGGGCAGCGAGGGGGCCACAAAGGGCGACAGCGGGGCCACGAAGGGCATGCATATGGGGCCACGACGGGCGCGAGCGAGCGGGGGCCACGAAGGGCATTCGTATACGGGGCCACAAAGGGCGACAGCGGTGCCTCTGAGGGCAGCAAAGGGGCCACGAAGGGCAGCGAGGGTACCACGAAGGGCGAGAGCGGGGCTACGAAGGGCATGCGTATGGGGCCACGACGGGCGCGTGCGAGCGGGGGCCACGAAGGGCATATAATGCGGGGCCACAAAGGGCAGCGACGGGGCCACTGAGGGCAGCAATGGGGCCACGAAGGGCAGCGAGCGAAGGCGGGCGAAAGACAGCGAGCGGCGACTGCAGTCATTAACGGGCTGGTCGGGCGGGCAGGCCCCGAGGGGCGTCTCGTTGAAGCGTGAGTCCTGCTTGCACCGCCAGGCAATATGTAGCGGGAGCGCGATTCCTGAGTGTCGAGGACCAGCATCTGAATAGATTGTGAGGAAATATCAAGCGAAGCGGCTCGATGGTAAGTTGCGAGGAAATCCCAAGCGAGAACGCGATCCTGCAATAAATTGTCAAGGAATATCAGCCGGGAGCCGCGATTCGGTGGTAAATTGCCAGGAAATCCTAAACGAGAGCGCGATTCTTCAATACATTGTGAGGAAGCATCCGGCGGGCACCGTTGTTGTTGTAAAGCGGGGGCCAACGACACAGTTTGAGCCTCAAAACTTTCCCTGATGAAAAACAGGGTGCGAACCCCGGGAGGGGCACATCAAGTGAACAAAACTACAATGTGCACCGGGCGGGGGGGCACTTCAGAAATGAGAGTTCGACAACAACAGCAACAGCAACAGCAACAACAACACCAACAACAATAACAACACCACCAGCAACATCAACAACACCACCACCAACAACACCAACAACAACAACGCAACAAACATAATCCTCATCACGGATCCCCACTTCAGCTACGCACCCAGGGACAATGAATGACATGTGTATATATATATATATATATATATATATATATATACATATGCATATATATATACACATATAGGATCGCCTCCCCCCCTAGCGACCTCCCCAACCACCAACACCACAAAACCTTCACTGGTCGCTTGCTCGTCGTTGTCCTGCTTCTCCTCCTGCTCCTTCTTCTCCTCCTCCACCGTTCCTCCTCCCCTTCCTCCTCCTCCCTCTCCTCCTCCGGCTGCAGCACAACAGGTCTGATCCTCCTCCTCCTCCTCCTCCTCCTCCTCCTCCTCCTCCTCCTCCTCCTCTTCGTAGCAACACGAAAATAAGAATAGACAGCGTCTTGCGCCCTCAGTGCAAGGATACGCTTTTTTTCGGGTACGGGAAGCAAGGGAACACTTAGTTTCTTTTTCGGGCGGGGGGGGGGGGGAGGGGGTGCAGGCCCCAATGCTCGCCGCGGCCTCCCTCCCAGCACCCTTCTCTGCGCCTCCCAGGCCAACAAACCGAAACATTCACAATAGTTGGCGCCCTCGATGCAAGGACACGCTTTGTATTTTTGCAGGTGCAACAAAGAAGCACTGCGTGTGTGTATATATATATATATACATGCGTGTATACACATTTTTGGTGGGTTTTGGAGGCCCCAATGCTCGCCGCGGCCTCCCTCCCGGCACTCCTCCCTGAGCCTGCAAAACCAAACAGCCCCAAAAGCTTAGCATACAGTGTTTCCTTGCTTCCCAAACCTAAGCAACAAAGCAAACCAGACACATACACAGCATTTCCTTGCACCGAGGGCGCCAAACGCTGTGCACTTTTTTGTTCTGGGAAGGACAGAGAGGGGGTGCTGGGAGGGATGCGACTGGGGGGGGACGACGACGACGCAACACTTGATCTCAAGGAAGCCGCGAGGGGCCATGCAGCGGGCTAGCGGCTAATCGGGGGCACAGGGACAGCGTTCTGATTTTGGAAACAAGGAAGCATTATTTCTGATTTTGCAGGCTCAGTGGGGTGTGCTGGGAGGGAGGCCGTGGCGAGCAATGGGCCCCCAGACAAAAAAAAACAAGCATACGCAATGTTTCCTTGTTGCACATCTGGAAAAGCAGCACAAACACACATACACAGTGTTTCCTTGCACGGAGGGCATCGACTACTGTTGTTTTTGTTTCTGTTTTTTTTTGGGGGGGGGGGGGTCTGGAAGGCGCAGAGAAGGGTGCTGGGAGGGAGGCCGCGGCGAGCGTTGGGGCAAACAAACCAAACAAACCAAACCAACAACAACACCAACAACAACAACACCAACACCAACAGCAACAACAACAACAACAGCAGCAGCAACAACAACAACAGCAACAGCAACAACAACAACAACTACTACGAAGTGTTTCCTTGCTTCCCATACCACAGAGCCAAAACAACCAACGTACACAACGTTTCCTTGCACCGAGGGCGCCAGACGCTGTCTATTCTGGGTTTCGTGTTGCTGCGAAGAGAGGGAGCAGGAGGAGGAGGAGGAGGAGGAGGAGGAGGAGGAGGAGGAGGAGAGGAGGAGGAGGAGGTGGAGGCGGAGGAGAACGAGGAGAAGACCTGTTGTGCTGCAGTTGGAGGAAGAGGAAGAGGAGGAGGAACGGGGGAGGAGGAGAAGGAGGAGGACGAGGAGAAAGAGAACAAAAAGGACGACGACGAGCAAGCGATCAGTGAAGGTTTTGTTTTTTGGGTGGTTGTGTGGAGGGGCTGGGGGAAAATCATGTGTATATATACAGCTATAAAGATACCAAACTTTAAAACGACACATCGATATATTCAGACATACAAGCATTCAGCTGTTGCCTCTTTATGGTCAGCATGGTGATGTTGGATTGTTTATCTAGTGCTTGAATGGTTCTCTTGAGGTCCATCGCGGTGCTGGTCCACTTCTAAATGCCATTGAACTTTTGATGCGATGTGAACTTCGCAATATTCCGGGACCTTCAGCTTCCGAGCAATCCATTGTATTCCCTCTTCATCGCGGGCGCGAGTATTGATGGTGCGCGGGGTGATTCGGACGTCACCCAGGGGCGACGCAACACTGATACCACGCGCTGCGATTCCAATGTCGTCTATTTTTCATATAAGCGATGGCTCAATTGTCCAAGTGTTAGAGCTTGAATCGGAATGCCTTTTGCTGCCGCTGGACATTGTACAAGCAGCCTTCCATCTCCGTCCTCATGTAGTCCATGAGTGTCGCCGCAGTGTCGAGGAGGGTTGGTCATGAAGTTCGCCTCTGCGGCCGTCGAAAGAAATCGACCCTGGGGCCTTCTGCATGGTGGACGGGGCGGCCCAGCTGGATACAGAGCGTTCGGATTTCTATTTCCTAGAGAGCGCCAGACTTTATCCTCGGGATGTTCACACGAATGGCTTGATGACTCCCCTCCCTTCTCCAACGCGGAGTGACCACGTAAAGTGTCGACTGTACTTTGGGAGACGTGTGGCTCGAGAGGGTGGGGCGCAGCCCTCATTGGTTGCCATAGAACCTCCAATTCAACTGAGGGTTTGGTGTTCTCAACGGTGTCACATTACTGTGCGGTTTGCGCAATGGTTGTCCCGTGGCCAGCATTCCTCCTCCTCCTTCTCCACAGCACCCTCCCTCTGCCTCCCCCTGCCTTCCCCTCCTCCTTTCCCCTTTCTCCTCAACCACTTCCGCATCCCACTTCCCGACGGCGGAGAAGTTGCGACGTCGCGAAAAATCACGACCACGGAATCCGAGCACTCGGCCCCGCTTTAATCACAAAACCCGTCGGGCCAGATCGATCCGTGAAGGCTGCCCCGAGCCTCCGAACCCCAGGCGAAAGGGAGACGCGCCGCGACGGGGCGCCTCTGCGACGCACGCGGGCCCCGGGGACCGCCGACCCCCTCCCGCAGACACCCGACGCTGTTCTTGCAGGAGCTGGCTCCCCAGAAATCTGGACCTCTTCCCGTGGACGGGCTCCTCATCCTGAGCCGTTGATTGGCGGCCTCTCGGGAGGCTGAAACTTGCCCAAAGCCTCCTCGGCCGTGACCTCCCGAACACGGCGCGAGGAAGCCAGGGCTGCGGCCGCGGACTCCCGAACCCCCGGATCAGGCGACGGGCGACTGCCAAGGACAACGGCTGGCGACCCCGCCGGGTCGAGGACGACCGCGGGCGACCCCGCCGGGTCGAGGACGACCGCGGGCGACCTCGTCCTCGCCGCGGCGGGGCGGGAACGGCGGAGGCCGCCGCCTCGGCCTGCGGCGGCGACGCCGCCGCGGAGCGGGCGGCGCGCGGCGGCCCGGCGTCACCGCGTCCAGGTCGGTAGAGGCCGCCCCCGCCGCGGCCCAAGGCGGCGCCAGGCGCCGCCGCTGCAAGGTCGGCCCACCGCGGCGAGGGGCGGCCGCCGCCGCCGAGGCCGGCGGCGGCCAGCGCCGCGGTCGCGCCCGCGGCCCGCCGCGGCCAGCAGCCCTTCGGCGCGGCGCTCGCGCGGCGCCGCGCCGTCGCGGGCCCAGGGGCCGGGCGGGGGCGGGTGCTCCCCATCATGGCTCGAGAGAGGGAAATGATGATGATGAGGCTGATGATGATGCTGCTGCTGCTGATGATGATGATGACGCTGATGCTGATGCTGATGCTGATGTTGATGATGATAATGGGGATGCTTATGATGATGATGGGGATGATGATGATGCTGATGATGATGAGGATGATGATGCGGATGTTGTTGATGATGATGGTGGTGATTATGAGGATTGTGATGCTGAGGATGCTGATGCTGATGATGATTATGAGGATTGAGGTGATGCTAATTATGATGATGCGGATGACGATGATGCTGACGGTGATGATGACGATGGTGATGCTGATGCTAATGTTGATGATGTCGGCGATGCCGCTGCTGATGATGGTGGTGATCGTGATTAGGTGCTTGTGATGCTGCTGCTCATGATGATGGAACTACTACTGGATATGATAACGGTAATGGAGGTGGTGGTTATAATGAGGATATCCGCCAACACAAACTCCAATTCATCAGGATACTGAACTGCTCTACTCTGCCCTGCCCCATCCTACTTTGATATACCGTCTCCTACTCTATTGTCCTTTACTCTACTCTACTCCTGCTCCGCTCTACCCTAATCGACTCATCCTCTCCTCTTCTCTCCCTTCCCTCCTCTACTCTTCTCTGCTCTCCTCTACCTACCCTGCTCTGCCCAATCCTATTCTACCCTACTCTATTCTATTCTATTATATTCTCATCTGCTCTACCCTATTTTACTATACTCTGCCCAATCCGACACTACCCTACCTTAATCTATCCACTCTACCCTGCTCCTGCTATACTCTCTGTTCCGCCTACACCACTCTACTCCAATCTACTCAACTCTGCACTGGTACTCTCTACTCCACTCTACTCCGCTCTACTCTACTTCAAATTCTTTTCCGCCCGAATCTACTGTTCCATCTACCCTGCTCTACTTAACCCTGTTTTTCTCTACGCTGCCCTACCCTACCGTAGCCTACTCGTGCCCTACTCTGCTCTGCTCTAATCTGCTCTACTCACCTGCTCTTCTCTACTCTAGTGTGCCCTGCTCTACTCTACCCGCTTGACTTCCGAAATTGACGACTGTTGGGCGATGGTTGTGGCGCCAATGGAAGTGTAATCGCAGAGGAAGCCGTCTGGATACAGAGGAAGCCATGCGGATAGCAGAGGACGCCATGCGGGTACAGAGGAAAGCATGCGGATAGTTTGACGATCGCTCGCTCGCAAATCATGCGCCGAAAAGCGCGTGGATAGATCTACCATGCAGAATACTGGACAACACCTCTCGCCCAAGCGCCGCAATCCTGAACGCTTGCCAGTTCATTAGCAGCGTGCTTCTGCATTTGGCCACCCCATTCGTTTCTAGGGCCCCCTACCTGCCTCGCGTACTTGCACGTGATGGGAGCAAAAGTCCCAAGGCAAAAGGTTCGACACTTCAGCATGTCGTCTTCGGGCGCTCTCACCACCCTGCTGCAAGCGAGCAATTGCTGGCGCAACCATTTCTGTGACATTAGCTGCCTGCCAGCCCTGGCCAGAATCACCTTGCTGGACACGCGCGATATGACGGAAGGCTTACTGCGCACCCCAAACATCTGCAATGGGAGCCATTCAGCTTAACGGACCTCAGCGACATTGAGCCACGCAGACGTAAGCACGTGGAGAAGCCGGCAGACGATGACGGCCTCGAACGCGTCAATCTTCCTCGCGAGCGTCAGCTGCGCGTGCTTCCAGAACAATGGCAGAAGTCGCCCCGGGCCCTCCCGATTCCGCGCTGCAGGTGTTTTTTGGCGCTGCCATCAGGTCTGATGTAGACGCCGAAATATGCATCACCTCCGCGCTCGGGATTGGCTCGCCCGAAGGCGTGCCCAAGCTGTAAATTCGACCGACAGAAATCAGCTGAAACTTGGACCTGTGGAAGGACATGCTGTATTGGGCGCCCGCGTTGGCCGCGGCGTCCAACAGCTCCTGCAAGTGACTCTCGTTGGCTCCAATGAGTAAAGTATCATCTGCATAAATGAAGCGATTTAGCAAACCATCGTCCGTGTTCTTCTGGGTCTCCGCAGTCGGCGATGTCGTCGCATCTCGGGCGACCACCGCTGCCAACATGACCAGCAAGAAGGGCGAAAATGGGCACCCTTGTGCGAATGCCGGACAGCTGGGTTCGCTCGATAGACCCCCCCGCGGGGCAGACAACGGCACGGCGGCGGTCCTGGTGGATCTGCTTCATCCTCAGGATCTTCGGTGGCAGGCCGAAGGGCCTGAGCGCGACGGTGAGCGCGTCGTCGTTGATGGAGTCGCAGAGCTTGCCCCGGTCCAGCGCGACCATGCCCGCCTTGCCACCTTGGTGCGCCTGTTCTGCGTCCACGCGTCTCCTGGCGGCGAATGCAGCGTCCTTAGTGCGCCTCCCTGGCCTGGAGTCGAACCGCGTCTTTGTCAGCCTTTCCTCGGTGCCGCCGCGCTTCAGTCGCCTCGGAAGAATTGAAGCCGAGCTTGTGCGCCGCGCAGACAAGACGAATTGGCCCGTAGTTGTCGCATTCCTGCATGCCCCCTCTCGTGTGTATAGATGCGACTATGGCTTTATGCCGATCTGAAGGCGTCAGCTCTGCGACCTGGCAGCTGTTGCGCAAACCAACGAGCCATTGAATCCCGCGCAGCGTGCTGCCGGCGGCTTTCAGGACCTGTGCGGGAATATCATCTGGACCAGAGGCCTTGCCAGCCTTGAGCCCCTGCAGACCATCAGAGACCATCTCCGCGCTGATGGCTCCCAAACTGATCGGGGGCTCTGGCCCGAGAGGGGGGCCGTCGACGAGGCCGGCCCTCCAGATTTTTGGCCATTGTGTCTGCCCACGATCCGCTCTCGGCGAGGTTGCCCTCCCGTCGCGTAGTTTGCCGCCGTCTGCGTGCTTGGGCCTTCTCGCCCTCCTGATCTGCTTCCAGATGCCATTGCTGAGATGCCCTTCGGCCCATTTCGCCCTCTCCATCTTGGCTTGCTTCTGAGCGCGTCCGTGCAAATCTCGCTCGAGAATGTGGTCGCCAGCTTCTCTCGCCTGCCGTCGTTTATCCTGGAAACCCCAAATGGCATCGGAAATCCATGGCTTGTTCGGTTGTTTCTGCCTATCTGGCAGGGCGGCCGCGGCCGCGGCCGTGGCGGCCTTCCCCGTCCGCCACCCTCGGCGGCCTCCTCCCAGACGCTGTTGTCGTCCAGGTTCTGAACGAAGCGTTTGCGAAACCATCGCGGATATCTGGCTGCTTCAGCGCTTCTGCATTTTTTCGCGGGGGTTTCGGCGGGGCCCCGGTGGTCGTGGTCTCGACGGGGCGTGGTCTGGCGCCGACGCGGCGTTCCGGACTGCTGCCGGACTGCGGATGTCGGGGAGCGCGTCGCGGCCGCGCGCAAGAAAACCGATCATGTGAAAAGCGCGATCTGTGGCCTTTCCTGTCTTCGAGCTACCAGGCTCCGCCAGCGTCGCCTTCTCGCTCGGCCCCCCCAGGCGCGAGAGCGTTGCCATCGAGAAGAACTTTGCTTAGGCTTCCACGACCAGATCCATGTTCGAGGCGTCAGCTGTCGACGCCGCGCGCTTCCCAGATGTGCGCGGTCCCGCCATTCCCTCTTAGTCGGGCGCGCCGGGTCCAAGGCGGGCGTTTTGACCTTCCCGGGGAAGCTTGGCGACGTTCGCGGAGAAAGCCCTGAAATAATAATCCAGATCGCAGAAGAATCGACATCTCTCGTCTAGTCGCCGCGCGTTGCGTGGAGCGCGCGCGGCGAGATGAATAACTTGCCCCCGCGCTCGAAGCCATTTTCCGCCGCGATTTCACCGCAGAAACACACCGAGGATATACAATTAAACCAAATCCCGCCCAGCTTCTGGCATCGGAGTCGCCCCCGAACAAAATGACCATACAACCGACGACAAAACGCGCGCTGCTCGATTCAACCCACGTTTCTTGTAATGACAAAACTTCCAACAACAATTTTCACACTTGCAGTATCAATTCATGAAGCTTCAAATCTGCGAGGCCCTTTGCGTTTCAAGATCCACGCGCCAGCGTAGAGGTCAAAAGTAAATCCGTTGAAGGGCCACCATCAGCACAGTGAAGTCCCACAACTAAGCTATTGTTGGTGCGGGGTGGAATTGTGTCTGCGTGCCCTTGGCCACGTCACTTTGACGGGCCTTTGCCCGCCCCCTTCGCCATCCCCTCCCTGCTCCTGGCCAGGCGATCGCGCGCGCTCTGGAGGATGGCGCGGAGCTGTGGAGACTGTTGGGGATCATTCCACTTCTCCCAGTCGTCGCTGATCCAATCAACGTCGAACTTTTTGCTGGTGACGTTGGGCTTCGCCACTGGCTCGCCCTTAACCTTCAAGGCGCGCGTGTCTTTGCCCACCCTGACTGGGGACGCTGCGAACTTCCACTCGACGAGCTGGTTCCGAAGCGGGCGGACAACAAAAACCATGCGCGCCCGCTTCTCGACGGGGGCCTCGATGTCGCACCACAGGCGCTCGGACCCCTGCTTCCCGCGTTCTCCTCCACCACCTTCTCTCTCATCGCCTTCGGGCCCATGGGCGCACCGACCGCGCTCGCGAACTTCACGAATGCGATCCCTTTGAACTCCTCCCCTTCCCAATCCTTCTTATACACATCAAGGGATTGGACCAGCTTGCGCATCCAGCCCGACATGTACTGCTTGAGAACCCCCGTGACCACCGGGCACGACTCTGCCGCCATTGCGCTCGCCGGGTGACGGCTCGGAGCAACGCCGAACTTGAGCAAATACTCTTCGACCATATGCGCGACCTCCTCCTCTGTGGTGACTTTGCCGATTGCCTTCGCCCTCTTCTTCATATCCTCCTGAGCCACCATCTCCCCCTTCATGCTCTTCACGTCCTCCTCGATGCTGCTGACCGTCATCTTTGCCGCGAGCGCGGCCTGGTTCGCGGACCTTGCCTCGTCGCGCGCCTCCTGAAATATCATAACGCTCTTGCGCATCATACCCTTCATCTCTTTCATGTCCTTCATCATTACCTTCAACGTGCTTTCCATGTTCATGTTCTTATCCTGGTCCACCTCCACCTCCTCCACTCTTTCGCAATCGCCTTGCCCGGGGATGCGAAGCGCGCCTGCTTCTGCACCCCGCCAGCGGGAGAACGGTCCATGCGATCCATCGACGTCTTGTACAAGTGCTGATGTGTTCGGCAAAGTTTGATGATAGTAACTTGAACCAGCCACGGAATACCTTGAGCCTTGAGCCGAAATGGAGGGGGGGAGCAGTGGACCGGTTCTCTATGGCTTGAGCTAGGACCCCTCTTGGCAGCCAATTTGGATACAACAGATGATGATGTTGATTGTGTCGATGAAGGTCAATATCATGACGATGCTGATGGTGATGGTCGCACTTTCCCCAGTGCGCAAATTATCCTCTGGTGAGCGCCGCTCTCACGGCTCTCCTCTTCTCGGCGATAGCACAGGCGCGGGCGAGGAGGAGGGCGCAGATGCACTCGGTCTCCCACCTGTCCTGCGCCCAGTGGGCGTTGGAATTAGAATAAAGAAAGCCATGCGCAAATAACGAACTATGCAATCCCCGGACGCCCGAACAACTCGGCAACGTGCACAAGACTTTACGTGAGTAGGGACCGACCGTCCCGACATTCCTATTGGCCTACAACAACATTTTCATCAAACCCAACCATGCTCTAATCAAAAGCATTGTGTTTTTAGAGCATAAGCCCGATGTAACAAAACAAGATAGTCACAGCCATACGTATTCCAATAACATTTCGTGCAAACCACACAGGGTTCTTAGAACATTCTCTGGTGGGCCTTTCGGCAGGCCAGGACGCTTCGCCACTGCTTAATTTCCCTTCAAGAGAGTAGTCGTGCCAAGTGCGGGGGAGATGAGGGAGGACGAGGGACGAAAGATTCACAACATCAGGGCACTCAACATAATGAAGAAGCGTGCCTGCTCCCGCAGCGCAGCGCCCGTGCGAACAAGAGGGCCGCACCCCGCCGTCGGAACATCAGAAACCGAACGGGTCGAGCTGACTGGAATTGGCATCGAATCGGATCGATCGACTAGGGACGGGCCCGGGCTGGTCGGGCGTCCAGTCCAAGAACTGAATGGGCGGCAGCAGCCGGCTGACTCCTGGGCGCGGGCTCCCGCGCGTGCCTGGCGGAGCCAGCGCGCTGCAGTCATCGCGCTACCATAAGAAACGCCGAGTAGGGAACGACATTGGCTTGTCTGGCCAAGGCGAGCCTCGGCCACGAATAGGTTCGCCGACCAAGATCTGAGGAACGCCTCGACAATCGGAGCCCCTGAGCTCAGAGTGGTCCTCATTTCAGCGTCTCGACAGTACTTCCGAAAGGGCCGCCATGCCCAATATCATCGGCATCTCAAGACGTCTGTCGTCGCGTAAAAGTTCAGAGTGTGTGCTCTTCCAAATGCCCATCTTCAGAAGCCGCTTCCTGGCACTGGGGCTGTCAGCTGCGCGCAAGAGTGGCCCTAGGCAAAAGTGACCTCTGGTGCGTGGTTTCAGGGGGCTGCGGAGCGGCCCAAGCCCCTCGGGCCTTTTCTCCTCCTCCTTCTCCTCCTCCTCCTCCTCCTCCTCCTCCTCCTCCTACTCCTCTCTTTCTCCTCTTCCTCCTCTTCCTCCTTCTCCCCCTCCCTCCTCCTTCTCCTCTTCCTCCTCCTCCTCCTCCTCTCCTTCTCCTCTTCCTCCTCCTCCTCCTCCTCCTCCTCCGCTCCTCCTCCTCTTCCTCCTCCTCCTTCTCCTCCTCCTCCTCCTCCCCCTCCCTCCTCCTCCTCCTCCTCCTCCTCCTCCTCCTCCTCCTCCTCCTCCTCCTCCTCCTCCTCTTCCTCTTCCTCTTCCTCTTCCCTCCTCCTCCTCCTCCTCTCCTCTCCTCCTCCTCCTCCTCCTCCTCCTCCTCCTCCTCCTCCTCCTCCTCCCTCCTCCTCCTCCTCCTCCTCCTCCTCCTCTCCTCCTCCTCCTCCTCCTCCTCCCCCTCCTCCCCCGCGAGCTGTCAATCAACGGCCCTCGGTGAAGAACGGATCTCGGGGATGGGGGCAAGAGCTCGGTGGTCAACGCATGGAAGAAGGCAGGATGCTGGAAATTTCGGTCTGGCGCCACGAGGAAGCAGTGGCGGGGGGTCGTTCTGCGTGCTCTAAGGTTCTCGACAGCTTTCAGCACGTTTCCTTAGACACGTTCGGGAGGGGCCCCTCCGACCAGCTGAGCCTCGATCGCCAGAAACTGTGGCCGCCTGGTTTTGCAGAACGGGCACTAGAAGTCACAGCTGCGGCCGCAACAGAACTTGAGGGCCTCTCGAAGGACCCCGATCTCCTCTTTCACCTCCTCGTCCTCGTCTTCTTCTGGCGCCACTCTCATTGCGTGAAACGTTACAAATGCTGAAGCGTGCGTGCAAATCGATCGTATGCAAGGGCCCAACCATAAGTAAGTGTGAATAACTCAAGGCAGATACAACGAAACATATGAATCTCCGTACAAGGCCACGGAACGTGTGAGAGGTTCCCCCCCCGATCCGGGCCAAGAGGCCTCCAAGAGGCCACAAGAGGCCCCCAAACCACCCGCAAGAGGCTCTCAAGAGGCCCCCGAGAGCGCTCCGAGGAGATCCGAAGAAGCATCCTTGAGAACTCTGACCCACAACCCAGGCATGGTGGCGGAAGGGGCCGAAGGCCATTCGATAGATCAGATCCGACGTGGCGAACAAAGTGCGGCATCGCAGAACTCACGATTGGAGCCCCAGGCCCTATCTTTCTGCGTAACCTTTCGAACAAGATCGATCTGTGAAGGTCCCGGGGCCCGAAATGGGGCGAAAACGCCCGTTGTGAAACAAGCGCAACGACAGGATCTCAGGGTAGGTGGGGGTTGTGAGAAGCGAGGGTCTCAACCGATACCCACCTAATAGTAACGTCGTATATGTTCAGTGGCATCCCACAATTTATCCAATACTATGGTATAGGTCGGTAGATAAGAGAAGGTCAGATGTGAGAATATGCGCCATCGAAGGGTGTGGACGTCTCCTTTTCCGTGACTCTGGTGCGATAGTGCGTCACGGATGGCGCAGTCATACTGAACGACGTCGCTTGAGCCCAAGCGGCGTCGGACGTAGGCTTAGGTCGGGCCTGTCTTCCTACAGGCCGATTTTCGAGGAACAATTAAAAATAGTCCAAACATGTTCAAACATTGTCAGAACATATGAGAAACCTAGTCCCCAGACTAGTCTTGGACCATCTCTGAACAGTCCTCCTGCAGAGGGGCAGGCCCGACTCAAACGTAGGCACGGCGCTCGCTGTGCTCGCCTGCTGACCCTCCGCTCGAAGCGGGGCTCCCCCGGCATGCCGCCAAGGCACCCTCGACGGAGATCACTGAAGGGGCCCAAGGACACACAAATAAAAACACACAAATAAAAGGATTCCCAATATTTTCTCATATTTTCTGGGTTTTTGTCATCCCCACCACTTCCCATATTTTCCTATATTTTCCGAGGGATCGACGATTAATTGTGTCTGTGTGCTTTTTCCCCTCCTGAATCACAAAGGCGCGGGCCCTGGTGGCGCGGGCGCGGCCGCGGGCGCGCCCCCGCCGTCGGTCGGGCGCTGTCGGGCCGGCAGGGCGCGCGGGGGAGGGGGCAGGGGTGCAAGTGCACCCGAGAGAACTCCAATCAGTGGATGACTTGAACATTCGTGCTATGGATCTTGAGATGGATTGTGAGATCGAGAATGAGATCGATAGTGGAATCGATAGTGAGGATGATTGTAAGGTCGATCGTGAGACCGAGAGTGAAATCGATTCAATGAGATCGATAGTGAGATCGATCGCGACATCGCTCATGCGATCAAAGGAATAGTCGGGGAGACGTAAGACTCGGGTTGGGGGGATTCGGGTTGGCCTCATGGGGCCATCATAAAAATGGCGCGACACGGTCTGGAATTTGACGGGGGCTCCCACTGCAGGCATCCTAGGACAACGGGACCGTCAAGATTCAGGACGGGCTCGTCAACAAACCTAGGCGAACCCGAGTCCCGGCGTACTCGAGTCGTACGTTTCCCGAAAGAGGGAGGGAGGGACTCTCTGGGACTCCCCTGAGATCCTGGCGCTGCAAGCTTTCCACCACGGGCGCTTTCTCGCCCTGTTCCGGGCCACGGGAACCTCGCGGATCGATCCGGCTTGGCAAATGGCGCAGAACGATGGGGTCCAGGGCTCCGGTAGAAAGGGGGATGGAAGAACAAAGCCAGGCGCAAACGCAAACTTTTGGCGGTCCGCGCGGATTTCCTGGATCAGCCCTGGGTCCCCCTCCCTGGCGTGCGGAGCGCGCGCGCGCGCGCCAGGGGCGGCGCCTGAAGCGCCGCCAAGGGGTCCCGGCGCAGATTCAAGAGATCCGCGCGGAGCGCCGCAAGTTTGTGTATTCCGTTGCTCTTCTTCGAGGGCAGAGGGAGGGAGGGACCCCGTGGGACCCTGTATGGAGTGGGACCTCTGTCTGGTCCCAGCTGCCCAGACCCCCTCGCGTCGTGAACAAATCACGACGGGAGGTTTTCCGCAAACGCCGGCCTCCAGGGGCCTTTACCGGGCCCCGGGGCCGTCCAGAAACGACTCAGGATGAAAGACCGGTCCCAGAGAAGGGGTCCGGACCTGCGGGGGTCGACGTTTTGACAAGAATCACGGTGTCGGGGGTCTGGGGAGGGGGGGACTCTGTGGGACTCTACATGGCCGCTGTCGGGAACCCCTGGACCCAAACATGCTTCGATCTCTTGGGGGCGCAACTTTTTAGTTTCCCGCCGGCTTCCGCCCTGCTTCCGCTGGCAGAGGCGGCCCCTCGCTTCACTTTCGCCGCCGTCCGCCGAGGAAGCGACAGCAGCTCGTCCAGCCCGCGAAGGCGCAGCCTGTTCTGCAACGCCTCGTATGGAGGGGGACTTCTGCCGGACTCTTCGAACCAGATGTCCAGCGCCTCGCAGTGGCCCTCCAGGGCGCCGAGGCCAGTCTCGTCCATCTGTTCGATCGAGGCCGCGGCCGGCGAGCTCGCAGGGAGAGCATCGATAGTGCTGGTGCCCCGTTGTTGGGCTCTCCAGTTCTCGAGCTCCTGAATCTGGCTGCGAACTCGGCTATCGGCGCCTGCGGGGCCGAACTGAGGCAGCAGCTCCACGGGGGTCGGGCGTCAGAGGTAGGCCCGCCCGAGGCAGATCGGAGCCCCTCAGGATCCGGTCTGATGCGCTTGACCTCCGGGTCGTCCTCGGACCGGGAAGGTCTCTTTGAGGAGGCCTGGGGACCTCCCGCCGTGGCCGCCACCTGGGAGCCAGAGTCCGATCCCGCTGGAGTCGTGCTAGGCTGAGGCACAAGGGGGGTCGGCTTTGCAGCTGGCTCTCATGGCAGACCGGCAGAGCCGGGGTCGGCACCGTCCTGGCGGCAGATCACCGCAAGGTTCACTGGGGGCTGAGCTGCTGGCTCGTGCTCCGGCACGGGTATCAGTCGCGTCGCTGGTCCTGGGGCCCAGGCCTATCGGGCCCTGGACCTCTGTCCTGCTGCTGGGGCCGCAATCAGAAGCCCTGGAAAGAGAACTGGTGGGCCGATGCCTGTTTGAGCCACGCTGTCCGCGGTCGCTGGAGTCGGCGCCGGGGTAAGGAGAGCGCTGGGGTCGGAAGCTGGAGTAAGATCCCTTGGGGCCTCATAGTGGGAGCCTAAATATGACTTTCGTGGGGGGCTGCGGAGACCTGAGACCTCGTCAGAGCCAACTGGAAGGACTAATACTCCAGGACGTCCCGGTAGCATGTAATCAGAATTTGTTTTGCCCCCAATGATTCGGACTGCGTAGCCAGCCGTATTCGCTCGCAACTTCACTTCCGCAAACGGCTCCGTACACGCGCCCGTGCCGTAGTTTCTTGGTGGTATACCGCAGCCCCTGGCCCCACCCGCCTGTCCCGTTGTGGCCCGTGGGGTTTGCCCTCCGTCTTTGGCGCCCGTCTTCAGATCGATGCCCAATCCCCAGGTCGGTAGGTCCTATCCCTGTGCCAGGCCTAGCCAAACGCGTGCTGCAACTTCCTTCGAGTGTCTCCTTCCATCGCAAGCTGTCGAGCACAAGTCCTAATCTCGTGTCGATGCCTAAAACGCCGCCGCCGCACTGTCGAGATCTGCGCTTGGCTCCTCTTGGTCGTGGAGCCTTATTCGGTCCTCGCAGAGCAACTCCTGGGGCGCCCGAGGGTTCTGTCCGAGCGCGAGCTGGAGCGGTGAGTCTCCGACCCGGCTCAAGCACGCGGTCTTCCGTGCAGCCCGTTCGCAGGCCGCTAGTTCCTGGTCGTCAGGGCACTCTAAGATCGCGTCGTCCACGCAGAGCTGGAGCCGCTCCTGCCACCCTTGATTCGCCCTCTCTGTCTCGCCGTTTCGCCGCGGGCTGTCCGCTGAATTCAGCCCCGAACTCGCCGCCCCCGTCGGAGATGAGGACCTCGGGGGGCCCGTGGTGTCTTATCCGATCCCGAACGAATGTTTTCCACGCAGCAACTGGTTGAAAACATCTCCCGGGGTCCGCGGCCCCCGCCCGCCGCGTCGACGTTCCTAAGCGCGCAGCGTCCAAGAAAGCGTACTCACGGTGTTGATACGCCACCAAGAAGATCCACTCCGAACAACTTGTTGAGGGAGAAAGTCTGAGCAGCAGTAGCCTTCCCCTGAGGCATGGGCTTGCCAGCGCTCTCACAAGACTGACGCGCTAACTGACGCTGGACATATCGCCATATCTCTGTCCGAACATGAGCACCCCTGAGGATGCGCAGCAGATCCGTCGTGGAGGGGTGGCCCGAATTGACGTGGGCTTACTCCGCCTGTCGAATATGTTCCTGAGTCAGCGGACAGTCCTGCCCCTCCTCCTCTTCGTCCTCTGTGCTCTCCTGGTCGGAGACCCCCGCCTGGGGTTGGGGGTTTCGGTCGCTCCTTCCGTCGTGGCGCCAGCGCCCCGCTTGGGAAGCTCTCGTCAGCTCCGTGCCGTTGCGACTCGGCCGAGCGGTGGGCCGCATGAGCGATGGCCCTGCAGGACTTGCTAGGATAGCAGGCCGCACGCCGAGGCAGACCACCTCCCCCACACACCAGTTGGTCGTGGTCCCAGGCGCATTATTTCCCCATATCCTAAGGATTGGGGTTCTTGTTATTACTCTGACGCCTCCCACTCCTCCTCCTCCTTCTTCCTCCCGCTCGCGCCTCCCTCCTCCCAATGATAATCACCAGATAAGACAAGACAAGATAAGATACTACAAGATAAGATAAGATAGCACAAGATATGATAAGAAGAGATTTCAAGATAAGATAAGATACGTTAAGCTCACACTCACACTCTCTCATGATCACAAAACGCTGCCAGGGGCATCATTTGGGAGCCCCAAGGGGGAGCCACCCTGGCTGATCTCACGAGCCCGTTCGCGCCGATTTTGGTGGGACGTCTCAGCTAGAATTGCCGTTTGGCGCCCCCAACATGTATCTCTTGAGAGCCTCATGGTCACAAAACGCTGCCAGGGGCATCATTTGGGAGCCCCAAGGGGGAGCCACCCTGGCTGATCTCACGAGCCCGTTCGCGCCGATTTTGGTGGGACGTCTCAGCTAGAATTGCCGTTTGGCGCCCCCAACATGTATCTCTTGAGAGCCTCATGGTCACAAAACGCTGCCAGGGGCATCATTTGGGAGCCCCAAGGGGGAGCCACCCTGGCTGATCTCACGAGCCCGTTCGCGCCGATTTTGGTGGGACGTCTCAGCTAGAATTGCCGTTTGGCGCCCCCAACATGTATCTCTTGAGAGCCTCATGGTCACAAAACGCTGCCAGGGGCATCATTTGGGAGCCCCAAGGGGGAGCCACCCTGGCTGATCTCACGAGCCCGTTCGCGCCGATTTTGGTGGGACGTCTCAGCTAGAATTGCCGTTTGGCGCCCCCAACATGTATCTCTTGAGAGCCTCATGGTCACAAAACGCTGCCAGGGGCATCATTTGGGAGCCCCAAGGGGGAGCCACCCTGGCTGATCTCACGAGCCCGTTCGCGCCGATTTTGGTGGGACGTCTCAGCTAGAATTGCCGTTTGGCGCCCCCAACATGTATCTCTTGAGAGCCTCATGGTCACAAAACGCTGCCAGGGGCATCATTTGGGAGCCCCAAGGGGGAGCCACCCTGGCTGATCTCACGAGCCCGTTCGCGCCGATTTTGGTGGGACGTCTCAGCTAGAATTGCCGTTTGGCGCCCCCAACATGTATCTCTTGAGAGCCTCATGGTCGCAAAACGCTGCCAGGGGCATCATTGGGAGCCCCAAGGGGGAGCCACCCTGGCTGATCTCACGAGCCCGTTCGCGCCGATTTTGGTGGGACGCCTCAGCTAGAATTGCCGTTTGGCGTCCCCAACATGTATCTCTTGAGAGCCTCATGGTCGCAAAACGCTGCCAGGGGCATCATTTGGGAGCCCCAAGGGGGAGCCACCCTGGCTGATCTCACGAGCCCGTGACGAGAGAGAGAGAGAGAGATAGAGAGAGCAAGAGAGAGAGAGAGAGAGAGAGAGAGAGGAAGCGAGAGAGAGGGAATGGAGAGAGAGAGAGAGAGAGAGAGCGGAGAGAGAGAGAGGGGGAGTTGAGAGAGGAGACAGGCGAGAGAAAGAGAGAAGAGAGAAGAGAGAGATAGAGAGAGAGAGAGAGAGAGAGAGAGAGAGAGAGAGAGAGAGAAGAGAGAAGAGAGAAGAGAGAGAGAGAGAGAGAGAGATAGAAGAGAGAGAGAGGAGAGAGAGAGAGAGAGAGAGAGAGAGAGAGAGAGAGAGAGAGAGAAGAGAGAAGAGAGAAGAGAGAGAGAGAGATAGAGATAGAAGAGAGAGAGAGAGAGAGAGAGAGAGAGAGAGAGAGAGAGAGAGAGAGAGGGAGGGGGGGGGGAGAAAAGAGAGAGAGAGGAGAGAGAGAGAGAGAGAAGAGAGATAGAGAGAGAGAGATAGAGGAAATAGAGAGAGAGATCGGACAAGTAGGCGACCAGGGTCCGTCCGCGAGGCGCACTGCGGTGCGACAACTCGCAAGCACTATTAGCGGCGGTGCAGCCTTAAGATACGAGGGCGGGCTACAAAACCCCCACCCCCGGCGCAGTGCGACTGACGCTACAGACGGCGGACAGACGATGAAGATCTCACCTGACAGACCGCGTGAGGTAAAAGGCCCCAACAAGAAAGGCGACGTGCTGGCACGTGGCTAGGCTGCTTGGCGGACCGCCAGTTGGGCGCTTGGCCGCTAAGCGGCGCGCAGTGACGGGGCACCCCCCGCCCCCACGCCCTGACACCGTGGACGCGGAGCCGCACGTACACACGGGCAGGCAGAAAGGAGGGGATCAGCGCGGGGCACCAGGTGGAGCGCCTCGGAACGATGACAACATAGCTTGGATGTTGAGTGACGGCACGACACCATCGGGCGAGGTCGTGAGCAGCTCGGCGAAGGCTCGCCCAGCGCTGTGGAGGCGCTGGAGTAGAGGACCTTGACGAGCTTGGGCAGCGGCGAGGTCCGCGGCGAGAGCTAAGCACCTCTGCTGAAGGGCAGCCATAGCCAGTGACAGCTCGGTTTCACGGTCGGTGAGAGGTGGCTGCTCAGTGACATCCGCCGAGGATCTCGAGACAGAGGCGAGGTCCTCGGTACGCCTGTCCAGGTGGGCTAGCGGCGTGCGGGACCCTGAACGCTGACGTCCGTCACCGTTAAAAGGTGGCTGGAGGGGCCGGCGCGACCCCAGGGCTGGAGCCGCTAGGGCCGCGCCCCGAGAGGTCAGGGAAGCCGCTTCCTCTCGCTCAGCAACGGAGGAAGCGTGGGTGGGGCACGAGGGCCTGTCTGGTTTAGTACCCTGCGGGGGGGCTGAAGCCGCCCCCGCGGGTCGCTGACGATGGGAAGGTGACGTGGTATGCACGGTGGGGCCAGTCGTGATGCCGTGCAAGGCCGCTGAGGTCGGTCGCGTAGAGGGTTGGTGGCTCGGTGGGGCGGCATGGTCGGCAGCGTGTGGTGTCGGCGGTGCGTCCTCAGTGCCACCCAATCCTCGGGGGGCACTCGGGTCGTGGTCGGCGTCTTGGCGGTGACCGATATCGTCGTATGTGGGCGTTTACGCTCTTGGGGACGGCGTCGCAGTAGGGTTTGCGAG